TCTTCTCCAACATTTATCATTTTCCTGTTTTGTCATATTTGCCAATCTGATGGGTGTGATGTGGTACCTCAGAGTTGTTTTGATTTACATTTTTCTAATCAATAGTGATTTAGAGCATTTTTTCATGACTGTAGATGGCTTTCATTTCTTCATCTAAGAACTGCCTGTTCATATGCTTGACCATTTATCAATTGGGGAATTAAGAAGATGGGATTTCACTTGGAACTTAAGGGAAGCCAGGGAAGGGAAGCCTTTTGATGGACATGGAGAAAGAGAGAATTCTGGGCACGGAGGAGAGCCCGAGAAATGCTCAGATGGACGGCAGACAGCGCCTTGTGTAGGAAACCGAAAGGAAGTGAGTGCAGCAGCTTTGCGGACACCAAAGTGATCACCCCACACTGACTGGCAGGCTCTCCTGTAGGGAGGGCTCAGCCTGTTTTGGCTTGGCCTCAGAGGACCGACCCAGAAGCAGTGGGTGGCAGTGGTGTTGTGGCCAAGGAGGCAGGGGCGGGGGATCTGCGTCTGGCCAGGCCCAGAATCTAACCCCGGCAGCTGCGGGTCCTCTCCAGACCAGGACAGAAGTTACCTGGACAACCGCCTGTCGAAGACCTGTCCTCACTGGGGGGACGGTCTTCTCTCCTGAGCCAGTCTGGGAGGGCAGATACGCCACAGTGGAAAGAACACTATTGGACTGAGAACCTGGGTTCAAATCCTGTTTCTGATACCGACTCCCTATGTGACCTTAAGCAAAGCATTTTTACCCCTGCTTTCTCAATCGTAAAATGAGGGGAATGAGCTGTCTCTGGGGCCCCTTCCAGACCTCTCTCTGATTGGATTGGTGATCTTGGTTCAGTCATTAAACTCCTTGGGCCTGTTTCCTCCTCCTTTAAACTCAGAGGGTTAGACCCATCCACAGAGGCCCAGGGGGCAGGGTGGGATCGTGGGTCATGAAGATGATCTCCCAGGAAGAGTTACCCTCATTTGACAAAAGAAACCAAAAAAGGTCAGATTGGGCAGGATGACAATCCCCAAACACAGAATCTCACTCAGAACTGAGAAAGACCTTTCAGGATCCTACCGCGAACTGCCCTCCACGGTATCCCCAACGAGGTGCCCGCCATGCAAAAACACAGCCTCTTCTGCTCAGCACAGCACCTGGCACACAGCTGGTGCTTAATAAATGTTCATTGACAGAACACTTGTAATGAGGGATAGCCGGAGATCTTACCAACCAGCTTGTCCTTTGGAGGGTGACTATGGACTTGGATCTCACTTACTACTGCCTCCTCCAGGCCTTGGTTTCCTCATCTGTAAAATGGGGGGGGGGGGGGGTTGGGCCAATGGCTTTGGAGGCTCTTTCCAGTGATGCCCCTATGAAGAGTTCTGAGTGTGAGCTTGGGGTAGTTCTGACTTTGCATTTGAGAACTTTTCTCCTACTTTTTCATAAGCCTTAAACATCTGAGGATCACTCCCATACCCCTTTTTCTTTAAACTTTTTTTTTTGGCCAGACAATGGGGTTAAGTGACTTGCCCAGGGTCACACAGCTAGTAAGCGTTATGTGTCTGAGGCTGAATTTCAACTCAGGTCCTCCTGACTCCAGGGTCGGCCAGTGCTCTATCCACTGCGCCACCTGGCTGCCCCCCGGCTGCCCCCCATGTGCCTTCTTAAGAACACTTGCAGACCCTTCACCATGCAGATAGCCCTCCTTCCAGAGCAGAATGTGATCACACCTTCCTCAAGGTGTAGGACCCAGCTCTGCTCCTTCCTAGCTGGGTGACCTTGGCTAAGTCACTCCCTTCTGAGCCTCCCCTTCATCTGGAAAATGAAGAAAAAGGGAATGTGGGATTACAAGTCCCATGGGCCTCCCCGAAGGCGGGTTTCTGTTTTTTTGCCTTGTAAAGAGCCTTACCTCAAGCCCGGAAACACTTTCACATAAAAGCTGCTGCCTGGATGCTCACTCCTCCTCGCATCTGGGCAGCCTTCTTTGACTCTGAATATAGGACTTCTCTCGGGTTACTCCCCACCCCTCCTACCTTCCCGTCAACTGGAAATAGGACTACCATGCTTTAGGCATTGATAAAGAGGGGAACAGCAAGGTACTAATCCTGAAGGCAGGACCTGGGTTCCAATGTCCCCTCTGATGCTAGCTTTGTGACCTTGGGCCAGTCACTCAAGCTCACTGGGTCTGTTTCGTCATCTGTAGAATGAAGGGATGGACCAGTTGGCCATTGAGGCCCTTTCAGTCGGGTAAGAACAAAGATCAAGGACGTAGCCCTGAGAAGCCAGAGATCTCTTTCCTGGTCATCGACTGTCTAAGCTACATCCTTTGTACAGAATTCTGAAGCTAAGAATTTCCATGAGCTCCAGCTAGCTCAATCTTCCTTGTTGCATCCCTGGACAAGAAAGTCCCTTGCAGAAGAGGGGGTCTGTTGGAAAGAGGCCTGTGAAACAAAGCCAGTGCAACCAGGATGAGAAGGGAGGCAGAAAGCTGGAAAAGTTCTACGGCCAGTGTCTCTGATAAAGGCCTCATGTCTAAAATACGTAGAGAACCAAGTCAAATTTGAGAACACAAGTCATTCCTCAATTGATAAATGGCCAAAGGATACGAACAGGCAGTTTTCAGACGAAGAAATTAAATCTATCTATAGTCGTATGAAAAAAATGCTCTAAATCACTGAGATACCACATCACAGCTGATTGGCTAGGGAAAACTGGGACACTAACGCACTGTGGGTAGAATTGTGAACTGATCCAACCATTCTGGAGAGCAGATTGGAACTATGCCCATAGGACTATAAGAACGTGCATACCCTTTGACCCAGCAATACCACTACTAGGTGTCAATGATCATAAAAAAGAACCCACATGTGCATAAAATATTTACAGCAGCTTTTTGTGGTGCCAAAGAATTAGAAATTGAGGGGATGCCCATCTATTGGGGAATGGCTGAACAAATGTGATAGAATACTATTGTGCTGTAAGAAATGATGAGCAGGTGGAATTCAGAAAAAACCTGGACAGACTTGTATGGACTGATGCTGCGTAAAATGAGCAGAACCAGTACATTGTGCACGGTAACAGCCAGTTGACAGACTTAGCCCTTCTCAGCAATGCAAGAATCTAAGACATCTCCAAAAGTCTCATAATGGAAAATACTATCCACATCCAGAGAAAGATCTGTGGAGATTGAATGCAGAATGAAGCATAGTATTTTTGTTTTTTCTTTCCTGTGGTTTTCCCTTTTGTTCTGATTCTTTTACAACATGATTAATGTGGAAATAACATGATCGTACACAGTCTACATCAGATTGCATGTCATCTTGGGGAGAGGGGAGGGAGAAAAAAATTTGGAACTCACACATTAAGTGAATGTTGAAAACTAAAAAATAACTAAATTTTTAAAAAATACCCTGTTGACTACTCACACCCTGCACCAATCATATTGCCTTCCTTACCTGTAAGAGGGAGTTGGCTTTGATGGCCAAAGGTTCCAACCCCCTTCCAAGCCTAAATCTAGGCCCCTAGGAAGCTGCTTAATACTGGGAAATGCCCCCATTCCACTTCCAACACTCCATTAGAGCTTCTCCCCAATTCCCCAAGCTGCATGAAAACTTCACCTTAGCAGGTGACTTTCTCAGTCCACCTGTTCCACTCAGCCCAGACTAAAACTCCCTTTCCCTGGCACCAGCAGCCTCTCCCATAGCAGCCTACATGTCCAAGCATCCAGTCATGAGGCCAGAATGATGAGAGGAGCATTGGGTAACGGCCCCCATGGTCAACACTCGTCACTTTTGTGGGCCGGAAAGTCGTGCGTGAACCTCACCAACCTGGATGGGTGGTGATCTGGGCAGTCCGTCGTCCTTCCTGGTTAGCGGGCCATAACGTAGCACCATGTAGCTCTAAGGCTGCCATGTCTTACACGGTCCTATGCCGCCACCTGCTGGGGAGAGGCCGCATGGCCTTCCCAACCATTTGCTAGAGACCTCTTCTAAAATGGCTGCAGGTTTCCAAGGTTCAGGCTGTTAAGGTATGCCCCTCCTCCCCATTTTGACTGATAGCCAGGCAGCTCTACTAGGCTGGCTACCTTATTTACCTAAAGATGCAGTGTTCCCTCGTCTCCTTTCCCAGCATGCACAGCACCTCTCGGTCTTTCTGTCAGTGACCAGTCTGCCCACCGGATATAGCAGCTATAGGGAGGACATCCTGGCAATGACCCACATGGCTTTCCAGCCACATTCCTCACAGCCTCATGCTAACGATGCAACTGTGACCCTATTCTCTGCTCCGCCACCCAACACTGTCCACAAACCTGCTAGCCACTGGGACAGTCTAATGGAGCTCCCCTTTACTAGCTCTCCCCTCAACACCGAGGGCCAGGCTTTGGTTTTGGGCAGTTTTCCCCCCATCTCCTATGCCCCACCGCCCCCCAGCTCACCTGGCATTCAATACAAGCCCTCCTGGCACCCCTGTCAGGCCTAGCCTAGTTTTCAGGCACACCTCTTCCATAACCAGGTGGAAGGTTTCCTTTTCACATGTGCTGCCCTTTGCTTTCTTTCAGGGTTTCTGGGGCACCTGTGCACAGATGTAAATACCCATTCTTCGTGCTGAACATGCTACTTCTTCACTTACTTCCCAGGAAGAACTACAGGGCCTCAGTTACCAACCAACGCCCTGGGGGCTTTCCTAACCCCCAAGGACCGGATTTCTAAAATCCCGCATGAAGCTAAGTCCCCTCTGCAGGTGCCGTACCACCCTAACAACTGCTTTGTGGTACTTGGACGCCATGGGCTGGCTCACCCCCACGGAGGCCTCCAACAACACAGAGACCCATCAAAGGCCCCGCTGCTGCTGTCCCCTCACCAGAGATCTCTAAGGGGCCCACAGGATGCTTGGGCAGACACAACCCAGGGATGCATATCTTGGGAGTAACATCTCCCAAGAGTCAACAGCTTCTTCACTGGGTGCCTTGATTGAAAGCCCTTTAGGAAACAGTCTGGCACCAGGTTAGGCCCTTTTAATGTGTCCTAAGACAGGCTGCTAAAGCAGGAACCATGAGAAAACATTTGCCTTTTTTCTTTACAGCCAAAAAGAGGGAATAAAAACGAAACAAAACACCACTACAGGTATTTTTAGGAAAAAAATGGTTTTGTACATGGGGTATAACATTATAAACTCAAGACAACTCAGACAAAAAGGTGACCTCCCACAGCTACCACCCGTCTCTGCAAAAAGTTTATATGGAACATCCATCCAGCCAAAACCGCTGCGCTCTCTCCCTTGAAATGTCATCTAGGTTTGTCCAAGACGCCCGCCGGCTGCCCGTCTGTCTTGGAATGTCCTCAGAAGGCTCCGTCAGTGAGTAGACGACAGGATAAAACCCCCAGAGTCCGTTCACATGGCAGGGGAAAAGAGAAAGGGGGAAGCTATTCAAACTTCGTCTTTTTTCCTTGTGGCTTGTTATCACCGCCTCCTCCTCGGCCTCCTCGGAAACCGCCCCGGCCTGCGTGCAGAAGAGGGCCACCGTGAGTACCGAGAGCGCCCACCAAGACCCCTTGCACTGAGTCTGAGCTCATCTGACCCGAGCCAGCCCCAACCTTACCTCCAAAGCTTCCTCGGCCTCTGCCTCCAAAGCCCCCTCGGCCACCTCTGCCGCCTCCTCGGCCCCCGAAGCCTCCACGGCCGCCGCCACCGCCGCCACGGCCGCCCCCTCGGCCTCCAAAGCCGCTAGGCTTTGCCCAGTCCAAGGTCACTTTGTTTCCGTCGATCTCCCCATCCTCCATGGCCTCTTTTGCGGCTTTGGCATCTTCCTCCGAGTTGAAGTCCACAAAACCAAACCTAACACAGGGTCAGCAGCAAACGCAAAGGTTGGTGGGGGCAGTGCCGGAAACCTCCCCTCCCCTTAGACAAATCCTTTCTGTGAGCAGGACATGCTGCAACACCCCTCCAACCTCCCAAATCAGAGCGACTGTTTTCTGGGCCCACGTTAAGACCCCCGGAAGCGTGTCTCACAGCCACACAGAAGTGTCCTCAGGATGAGAGGTGACACACGACACAGCGTAGTGTGGTGTGAAAATTTCTCTTCTTCTCGTGCGAATCCACAGCCCGTCACAGGTAGACAGGGCGGAGCTCATTGAGAAGACACCAAGCCCCCCTAGGCAGACTCCCACCACGTACCCTTTCGAAGACCCTGTCTCCCTGTCTGTGACTATCCTGGCGCCCACAGAGCCTTGAAACGAATCTTTCAATGTTTCTTCCGTCGTGTCTTCAGACAGGCCTTTGACGAACAAGGTTTTGTAGGACTCTGGGGAAAGAAGATGCTGGCACGTCACCTCCAGCACTAAGAGGCCCTGCAGCCTGTCAGCACATAGTAGGCTCACAGGCTATGGTGAACTGTGACCAGATCTTTATGGAGAGCTGGATCAGAACTTGACTATCTAGAGGAATTTTCTAGAGATTTCATCAGCAATTCTCAGATAATTAGTCATCACATCCAGCATCATTTTTTCAGCTGCAAAAAGCCAAGCCTTCCCCTGCCCCTTTAGTATTTTACATGGCTCTTTCTTTTGAAGGCAAAGATCTGGAAATGCAATTTCCCTGGTCTGGCCACTCCCAGGTGAAGAAACTCCCTCTACCTACGGAGATGGCAGTAGCCTGCCTCCCCACCCAGGCCTCCTTCACTTACGGTTCCTTGGGGCTGTGTTGGTGGCCTTTTGCCCCTTCAGCTCCAGCCGGATGGCTCTGCCTTCAATCTCTATATTGTTACAAGAATTCAAAGCTTCTTTCGCATCTTCCACGGAGGCAAACTCAATGAATGCGTACCTACGCAGGAAAGCAAGAGATTCAGACCCCTGGAAGAGCCCCCTGACCCCGGCCTGGAGAGGCCCCGTGCCTCGCTGGCCCCCTCACCCTTTGGGTCGGCCTTGGTTGTTCTGGGGCAGGCTGATGGACGTGGCCTTCTCAAACACTTCCTGCAGACTCTCCTCTGTGGCGCTGTAGGCGAGGTTGTTCAGCACCAGGGTCTTGGAGTCTGATGGCTTGGTGGTGCTCCCACCCCAGGCATTATTCTTCCCTCTGGCGTTCTCTTGCCCTTGGCTTTTCTCCCCTGTGTAGTCCAGAATGAGTGCTCGGCCATCGATCTCAGTGCCCTGCTTCTCTTCTAAGGCCTTGTCCACATCTGCTTCAGTCTTAAATTCAACGTAGGCAATTCTGGAAAATGGGGGTGGGGGGGTCAAGCCATTGGTTTATTCAACACTTCCAAGACAGGAAGGATGTGAGAGGTGAATGCTGCCCAAGAGGCACCACCCAGGTGTGAATCAAAAACTGGTGGACCAGAGACCAAAAAAAAATCATGCCCGGGGTCTACACACACTGGGCAATGAGGCTGTGGTACGGTCTCCACCGGCCCAGGCCAAGCTCCCTGACAGACTGTGGGTGCCCACACACGGCCAGTTCGGCTGTCAGCAGTGACTCCCTCTCCCTTGAGGGCTGCTACACACCCCCGGTGTCAGGGACTACCTGCCGAGGTGAAAAAAACTGAATTCGGAAAGCACCCTCCACCTTTTAGAAGGGAATTCTTTTTTCCCCTAACACAGGCAAACCAAATTGGATTCTGATTCTAAGTGGTTTACCCAGGGACACAAAGGTACCAAAGTGAGACTCAGACTCGCAATCCACCAGAACACTTGGCGCACACACAGTCATAGCAGTGTGCATTTCTACCTCCATCGAGATCACATCCATCATCACAGGGGTGCCAAGCCTCCCTTTTAAAGAGGGCTCAGTGGCCCAGCCTTGATAATAAGCTTCTGAACTCCTGAAAGGCAGCCCATGGCAGAGCACCTGGCTTGCAGTGTGGGTCCCACTGCATCGCATAGGCTCATTCTCTGACCCCACCCAAGCCCCCTCCACCACAAACACCAACCTACCCTTTAGGGGTCCCATCCTTGGTGCAGACCAGTCTGACCTCAATAGCGTCTTCAAACACTTCCTTGAGCTCCTCTTGTGTTACTTTATATGGCAGATTCTTGACGAAGAGCGTCCGTGCGTCTCGGTCTAGAGAAAGGAGAAGGTCCTGTCAGCCGGGTTTCTAGAGGGCCCTGAACAGGAGCCACCACCCACAGGGAAGAGGTCAGCTCAGAGCCTCCCCTTCCCCTACCTTTCTTATTCTCTTTTGCTTTTTCCAGCTTCATTTCAGAGCCAAGCACTTTGGAGCCACTGAGTTCCAGAGCTTTTTCCATGTCTTCAGCAGATTCAAATTCCACATAGCCAAACTTCCTGGAAAGAAGAAAAAAAGAGAGAGGAAAAGGCTGCCACTGGGCCGGGGTCTGGTTAAGGATGAGAATAACCCACAACTCCCCAAACCGCTCAGATGAGGCCCACGTGGCAGGGGGAGTGCTAACAGCTACACATGGCGAGGGTTGGCTCCCCATGGCCTTCTTCACGCTCCTGTTTCTAGGAAGGTCTGAGGGAAATGCGCAGTGCAAAAATCCCAGCAGTGACTCGGATGGCCACCCCTAGCAGCAGGAGACCAAGGACATCACCTTTTCTCAAGAGACGGGGTCTCTCAGGGTGGCCTGGAGCCAACTCCCCCCAACTCGGGACCCTACGTCTAAAAATAGAAGAAAACCTCTCTCCCAAAGATACAAAAGAGGCATTAAAAAAGGTTTAAAAATACGACTGTTGGTCTTCCCTGTGCCAAAGACCACCTCCAGCTCACTGGCACCAAGAGTGCGCAGCTGCCTCGGATACCTATCACGTAATAGACAGACATGGCCACACGGGGTACGTGAGCTCTTGGCATGGCCCCGATCTAGTCTTCAGTCTGAAAAGGCACCTAAGAGCGCGAGGGTTTCAGTCACCCCATGCCTTCCTGACTCCACTGCCCCATGAGATGCTTCTCTGGTGTTCAAGTCAAATCTGCAGAGGTAAACGCTCCGTTTGACCCTAACTAAATCTGCTAAGTAAAGACTGGCGTGTTCACCTTTTAAAAAGCTCTGGGGGGCCCTCATAAATGAAAACACCCAGGCCACTTACCTGGTGGCACCAATGCGCACGTCTACAACGGTAAGGTCCTTTTTTGCAAAGAAGTCCGTGATGCCGGTTTTGAGCTCTGAAGCAGTTTTGTTGAAATTCAGGTTACCAGCAAAGAGATTGAAATTTGTAGATGCTTCAGCTGTTGCAAAGAAACAACTTGTGTTAAGGTGGGAAAGCTGACCTCGCTGTAGAGACCCAGAAGCCCAGGAGCACATCAGCTTATTACCATGAGCGTCTATCAGGATTCAGAATTAAGTCCCTTGGCAGATCATCACCTGTGCCCGGCCACGAGTCAGCAGCCCGCCTGCCCCTGCCCCTGCCCCCACCGACACCTGCTTTGGGCTGCACTCACCATCCAGTTTCTGTTTCTTGGCTTCGGGGGCCTTCTGTTTGCCCATTTCCTTTTTCCTCTTTCCAGGGGCTTCTTTCACAGGTACTGCAAGACAAGAGCAGCAGGCATGACCACCTCCTGCCACCAGCCCACTATGAGCGCCACCCAACCAATTCCTGTGCACCAGCTTGCTCTGGGGCCAAGAAAAGGCCAGATTCACTCCTGGAGGCACCACGGACTCCAGGTTTCTTTCTCCAATCCTTACCTTCCTCCTCCTCTTCCTCCTCCTCCTCCTCGTCGTCATCCTCATCTTCGTCATCTTCCTCCTCCTCATCTTCGTCATCTTCCTCCTCCTCCGACTCCTGGGCCTTCCCAGGTTTCCCTGCTGCAGCTTTCACGGCAGTAGCCTTCCCTTTGGTGGGGGTGATTTCCATAGCTTCTTCTTCTGAGTCTAAAAAGAACGCCTCTGTTTGAGTACTGCCCACGAGGGAAGGAGCAGAGATGAGTGACCACCCTTCCTATTTATTAACATGCTCCAAGCTTCCCAGGCAGCGCCACCACTATTACCAGGGATCATCACACTGTGACTAGGGATGGACCCTGACTGTCTGCTCAGCCTGAGGAGAGAATCCGCCAGAGCCGCCTGCGGGACCATCCCGAGGGCCCGAGGCCCATTTCCCAGGGTTCCAGGCTGACGCAGCCTCCACTGAGCCTATCTAACTCTAGGCAGAGAATTGAAACTCTGGGCCAAGTGAAGACCAGCGCAAGCTTATAGGTTTCCAAACAAAGCCTCTTTACCATGACCGGGACAGAAACCAACATTACCATCGTCATCTTCCTCCTCATCGCTGTCCTCCTCGTCTTCCTCATCCTCCTCATCCTCGGAGTCTTCTTTGGCGGGAGTTGCTCCCATCTTTGCGGCTTTGGGAGGCTCAAACTCCTCATCCTCATCTTCACTGTCCTCTTCTTCAGACTCACTGTCCTCCTTCTTGGCGTTCTTTCCATTTTTTGCCCCTTTGGCTGGGGTGGCAGCTGGCTTAGCTGGAGTGGCTCCCTTCTTGCCTGGGGTGGCAACGGCCTTGGCGGGGGCAACCGCCTTCTTGGCGGGGGCCGGGGTGGCTGCCTTCTTCCCAGGAGTTACGGCTGCTTTCTTGGCTGGCGTGGCGGCAACAACAGCCTTTTTGGTTGGTGGTACCTTCTTTGCTGGTGTGGCCACAGCCTTTTTGCCCTTCTTCTGAGGGACTACAACCTAATAATAATTTTTATTGATAAAGTGTTATAATTTACAAAACGCTTTTTAACCTAAAAGAAACAACAAATGGAAATTCAAACTAGAAAATACAACTCAAGACATAAAAATATCGAGACAGCCTGAACGAGCTACAGAACAAACAGGGCAGGTGACCTGGTGCCACCCCTCCCTCCCCGTGCAGGGATCCGGAGTCTGAACCACCTATCCATCTTCCACTACAACCTGCACCCTGAGGACTTGCTCATACAGGTATGAAGTACTGGTACTCAAAAGCCAGGCCTGGGCAAAAAACAGCTTTGAAGGGGGGAGCGAGGAAAGCATCACGAACCAGGCACTGTACGTGGCCACTTCAAACAGTGTAATTCGACTGCCAAAGAGGGCGAGGCAATTCCCCAGTTACTCTGTCCTATTCTGGCTACAATATCACACAATTTGTTCCACCCTAGAGTATAAGCTCCCTGAGGGACAGTTTGGTCTACATCACCCTTCCTGATCTCCCTAGTGCTTGCGAGGGCTCTGCACCCAGGAGGCAGCTCCAAAAGGAGGCTGGACTACGTGGGCTTGGAGGCCTCTTCCTGCTCTGTACCTGTTACTCTCTGAACAAGGTTCTGTGATTCCAGCTTGTCACTAAGATGCTCCCACATAAGGACCATGGATTCAGAAATTCTCAATCCTCCAAGTCCTGTCAGAGCTAAGAAAGAATTTGGTCTAACTTGTTTTACAGTCAAGGAAAACACAAAGTCAAACATGTAGAAAGCAGCCAAGTCTGTACTTTGAGTGTAAGTACTTTCTCACAGACTAGAACCCGTGCCCCAGCAACCCAAGTTAATGTCCGTACCGCCATTAACAAGGATGCTAAATTTTTTAAAAAGTGCCTAAATCAACAACATCAAGTGTTTCTTACCTCCCAAGGACAGCATCACCTCAGCCCAGGAGGAGCCTCACATCACATGTACAGACCCGCCAGGGTTGGCCTCAACCACCCCAACAAGGCGGCTGGGTCCTTCCGGAACACTCCTGGCAGGGGTCCTGCCTAGTTGTAGGCATTGAAAGCCCACACTTACACGGCCTGGGTAAAGCCCAGTGTATTTCATATAATTCTTCATTAAGTGAGGTGTTTTTTAGCTGATGTATATTACTAAGCATCCTTCTTAGAAATGAGTACAGTATCTAGTCTGCCCAAGAATTACCTCTGCCCTTAAATGAGAAAGGAATCAATGCCCTCTAAAATAGTCTGGGACTTTTAATTAATTCCTCCCTTATATCAAACCCAGATTTGAATATTGCTGTGACTAGGCCCCCAAATTATCCTTCGCGTAATTAAGGTTTAAAAGGAACGGATGCCACGCAACTGCACGGCATCAAGTTTTACCCAAATCCTTGCCTACAAATTCCCTTCCAGACTCTGAAGAGAGTTTAGTTCGCTCCTCTTTTTCTTTACAGAACAAAACGAATCGTTTCTGGACAGAGCTGCAAAGTTACCTCTTCTCCACTGCTTTCTTCTTCATCTTCTGACATGTCCTCATCTTCGCTGTCTTCTACCTCCTTTGGGGGAGGGGCCATTTTCTTTGGCTCACCTTGACTTTTAGCAGCCTGGAAGGAAAGACCAAGAGCATGGCATTCACATCCCAACAGCTCAAGTTATCGTAGGCTCTGCCACAAGCATGGAGGACAGCAATCACATTTATAAAATCTACCGGCTTCAAAACGGGCCCAAAACGCACCCTCTTTCAGGCCAGGCAGTCCTCCCTATGGAAAGGTTCCCCCTTTCCTGGCCCCCCTCCTTTATCCCAACAACTTCAGAACATCTGAAAATGCTGGTCAGCTGCAAGACCCCCAGAACACTGAAACGGAAGGTCACGAGGTTAAAGCCGATAAAGAATGCGGGCTCCGGCTTGTTTCAGGGGAATTCGTCCCCCTAACGTTGCGGTAAATAGCTTCAACATCTGCTGTTCAGCAGTACCAGGGTCTTCTTCCCAGAAAGACTTTCAGTGGCGTCCCGCGTCCCACCAGCCAGGCCACGTGGGGCAGTAAGGAAGCACGTGGCGACAGCGTTGCCCACACACTACCACTCCAGCCCCCTCCCCTTCTCCTGGCACCCTGGCTGCCCTCCCCCTCCTACGCCCCGGATCCTGCGATCAGCCAATGCCCCTGCCCCCTCCCCCTCCCCCTCAGCCCGAGGGCGGGATCAGGCATTCGGAAGCCAAGGGTCAGCAGGGCCACGAGGCCACGTGGTCAGAACTGCCCTTTTGACAGATGAGGAGGAACCCGGGGCCCGCGGCCACCAGGGACCCAGGTCTGAGCCTGGCCCATCCCCCAGGCCCCCGAGGCCACCATCCGCGGACGCGGACACGGACTCGGACCCGGACCCGGGCCAGGCTCGGCCTGAGCCGGCCCGCCAGGCTGAGCCACATGGCGGGCGGGCGAACTCCGCGCCCACGTGCGCGGCGCCGCACACGTGCGCCGGCGGGGGCCCAGGTCGGGCACTCGGCGCACGGAGATGACCTCACGGCAGCCCTCGCCCCACCACTCCCTCCCCCTTCGGGACCCAGCGCGCACGCGCGGCCTCCCTCCCCGCCTTCCCTCCCGCCGCTCTCGGCTCCCGGCTCCCAGGGCCCTCCGCCTCCCCGCCCGCAGCAGAAACAGAAGTGGCGGCGGCGCCGAGTCGCGCGAGACTTCCCGGGAGCTCCGCGCCGCGCACGCGCTGTCGCGCTCCTCCCCGCTCCCGCGCGCTCAGGCCCGCTAGGCCCCGCAGCCCCCGGGTGCGCGTGGCGGCGCTAGCCCGCCGCGGCTCACCTTCCCCAGCTTCACCATGGTGGCGGCGCGTGACTAGGGCGCGGAGGGTGCGGATCCGTCGGCCGGGGCCCAGGCAACGTCGGTGGCGGCGGGGAGCGCGGGCAGGAGTCCGTCCGCGAGCAACCCTTTGCTGGTCGAGACTGAGACGAAAGACTGAGCCTGCCCCCTCGGCGCGACTGGAAAGGAGCTCGCCCCGATCCCGTGACGCCCCCGCGGCCAACCAGCGCCCTCGCCCCGCCCCCGGGCCCGCCCATGTCCAATCCCAGAGCGAGTTCGGCCGAGGGGGTGGGGCCGAGGGGGCGGGAGCCGCGCCGGGGCGGGGCGCCGGGGGCGCGAGCTCGCGGAGCGCGAGGCGGGAGCGGCGCGCTGATTGGCCGGCGGGCGGGGCGCGCTCGGGAGCGGAATGGAACGCGGCGGAACGCGGCGGAGCGCGTGGCGCCTGGGCGCCGCCTGCCCACGTGTGGCCTCTGCTCGCCTGGTGGCGGACATTTTGAGCCCTGCCGTGCTGGGCCTTCCGGAGCGGGGCCGGGCTCCGACCCCGGGCAGGGAACCTAGCTTGGTGTGGAATGCACGAGAGCCGAGCCCCAGCCCAGCCTGAGACAAGTCCTAGCCCGGTGCCCCTGTACAAGTGACTCAGCCTCTGCCTGCCTCAGTTTCTTCATCTGTCAAATGAAAATAGATCTCAGTGGTTTCTAAGAGCCCTTTCACCCCGGACCCTCTGTCCTTGTACAAGACAGGGCTGCCTCTCCAAGCCTCAGTCTTCCCCATCTATAAAAGGGGTTTGGGAAGGGTTCCCTTCTGCCCTGCCTGCTGGGTGTAACAGGTGATAAGCCTCCCGGCCACAAAACACTTTACATGGGCAGTTGTGTGGGTGTAGAGGGCTGCCTTGGAGCCAGGAGGACCTGCTCAGGTCCCTCCCCAGACTCCAGCTCAGTGATCCCGGGCAGGTCGCTTGACCTCAGTTTCCCCGGCTGCAAAATGGCCCCTGCGGTCCCTTCTGGCTCTAAATCTACAAATGGCCCATTGAAGGTTTCAGGAGCCCCCTGTTATTCCAGGGACTGGAGGAGTTAAGTGATTTGTCCGTGGGGACTCAGCTGGAAGTGGTCAGAGGCATAGCTGGAGCCCGGGTCTTTGGGCAAGAAGAGCACAGCTTAGCTGGTCATGTGGGCCCTGACGGCGGCCCATTTTACAGATGAGCACACTGACTCACTGCAGGTCAGGGTGGCCAGAGAAGATGGGAGCACCACAACTAGAGCAGGATTTCAGAACTTCCCCAAGACCCTTTCTGTCCTATGTGTGTGGAAAAGGGCCCACCACATTCTCGGCAAATAAATGTCTGGGAGGAATCAGCCCACGAGGAAGTGTCAGGGGAGTGGGAAAGTCCAGAGCTGCCGGCCCTGCCCTGGGGCCCCGGGCCAGGAGCAGAGCTTCTCCTACTCAATTCCTGGTCACAGGAAAGGCGCTCAGGCCTAGGAAAGAGCAGGACAAAGTTCTTCCCTGTGAGTGTTCTCAGTTGTGTGCTAACCCGTTTCGCAAGTGGCCAAAACCCTCTCCATCGTCTGAGGCCGTCCCCAGAGTCTCCCCTTCTTTGACACCCACATCACCCCTGGAGATCACCAGAACCACAGCGGTGTGCCCCCTTAAGCCACTGCTGACTCAGTTTCCTGGGGAGGCAAATCCTTCTAGGGATTCTCAGAGTTCAAGGCCACCGGCCCTCGGAGGTCCAGGTGAGAGGCACAGCTTTGGAAGCCAGAAACAAGCAGAAGTCATTGCTGAGCCCTTGTCAGTTAACTCAGAAGGATCCTTCGGGATCAAAGGGGAAACCCAGGACTACAGAAGAGGAAAAAGAATGGAGGCTGCAAAATGTCAGCCAAGGAGCTCAACGTTGCCTCCTGGCGAGAGTCTAGAATGCTTTTATTAAAAAGGGATACGGGTCTAGAAAAGGAAGCAGTGATGTCCAAGAGGGGCCTGGCTTCATCAAAAACAAGACCAGATTTCCTTTTTTGATAGCTTTATGAGACTGGTAGGTCGGGGAGATTGTTGGATATATCTTAGCTAGATTTTTGTATCATACCTGAGTAACTGATGTTACCCTTGGGAGCAGCTAGGTGGAGCAGTGGATAGAGCACTGGCCGTGGAGTCAGGAGGAGCTGAGTTCAAATGTGGCTCAGACACATGATACTTACTAGCTGTGTGACCCAGGGCGAGTCACTTAATCCCAATTGACTCTCCAAAAAAAGCCCCCAAAACGAATGTTATTCTTGTGGAAACTCAAGTCAATAAGCATTTATCAAGTGCCTACTATATACCAGGCACTGAGCTAAACACTGGGAATACAAAGAAAGGCAAACGACAGTCCCTGACCTCAGGGAGCTCACAGTCTAACGAGGGAGACAATGTGCAGAAATCAATCTACAAATAAGCTAGAGGCAAGCTGACTTGGAGAGAAAGAACATGAAGGAGAATTGGGAAGAACTTTTTGTGGAAAGTAAGAATTTAGTTGGGACTCGAGGGAAATCAGGAGGCACAGAAAAGGAGGGAGAGCTTTCCAGGTGTGGGGGACAGCCAGAGAAAATGCCTGGGGTAGGGAGATGGAATATACCATGAACAAGGAGGAAATGTCACTGCATTCAGAGAAGGTGGAAGAGAGTATCAGGTGTGAGAAGGGGCCGGGATACGAAGGGCTTTTAAAGCCAAACAGAGGAGTCTATGTCTGATCCTTAAGGCCCTTGGGAGCCACTAGAGATGATTGCTTGGGGGGTCAGGACAGGAAAGGAGAGTGACCTGATGGGACCTGGGATTTAGGAAAATCCCTTTGGTGGCTGAATGGAGGATGGACTGGAGTGGGGAGAGGCTGGAGGAAGGCTGATCCCCCAGCGGCTATTGCCATAGTCCAGGAGTGAGGTGAAAAGGTCTGCACCAGTGTGTGGGTGAATGGGGGGGTCAGAGGAGAGAAGGGGGCGTATTGGTGAGGTGCTGTGATGGTAGAATCAACAGGTCTTGACTACTGCTGGGCTATGGGCTGAGGTGAGCCTCAGGGACGGGGAGGATGGTGGTGCTCTCACCAGGAGCAGCAAAGTTAGGAAGTCTAAGATGTGTACAGAATCCCCAGTCTGAGATATCCAGGGGGAAGTTTGTAAGCCTGGAGGTCAGCAGAGAAGTTAGGGCTGCATAAGTAGATCTGAGAATCACCTGCTCAGAGATAACTGAACCCATGGGAGCTGATGAAATCACCATGTGACTTAGTATAGAGGGAGAAGAAAAGAGGGTGCAGGGCAAAGTCTTGGGGGACAGCCACAGTTACCCGGCTGTCCAGCAAGGGAGGGAGACTGAGAAGGAGCCGTCAGACATGGAGGAGGAGAACCGGGAAAGAGCAGTATCAGGGAAACCTAGAGAGAATAGTGTAACCAAGAAGAGAAAAGGGTGGCTAACAGTGTCAGAGGCTACGGAGAAGTTAAGATGGATGAGGACTGAGAAGCAGTTATTAAAGCAATTAGCAGATCATTGGTAATTTTAGAGGGAGGAGAGGTGAGTCGAAGCAGCTAGTGCAGGTGACCTGAAAAGAACTGAGCTACTAAAGGGAGGGGAGAGACATTAAGATAGTGGGGATGGACAAATCATGGAGGGCTTTTTTGAGGATGGGGAGATGCAGGTGCCTGGGTGTCCTGGAGCCTGCTCCAACCTGCTTAAATTTTCATTGTGAGCATTTACAACTTGGAAATTGCTACAAATCAGGGCTTGAATTATCGTTTTGTTCATTGTCTAACTTAAGAAAGTTTTAATAGTGTAGATTATACTTTAAAATGGGTCCTGCCTTACATTTTTCCCCCTGGAGAGATGGTTCCTAAACATTTACCAGCACACCCCTGCATGGGTGTGTTTGTAGGCAGCAAGAAAGCAGCTCATAGGGAGAGAGGAGAGCAAGGTGTGGGCTCAATGATAGTATGGTTAGGTGAGACTTATATAAAATAAGTACCCCAACATTGAAGCCCCAAATTCTCCAAAATGTCACATGAACTGATCCAGAATGAGGGCAGCAGAGTCAGGAAAACAATATACACAATGATTACAACAATGTAAATGGAAAGAACCATCACAAAACAATCAAAACTCAATGTTGAAAAATTACAAAGAGCAAGGGAGTCAGCTGGGTGGTGTAGTGGGTAGAGTGCTAGGCCTGGAGTCAGGATGACTTAAGTTCAAATCTGGCCTCAGACACTCACTAGCTGTGTGACCCTGGTCAAGTCACTTCACCTTGTTTGCCTCAGTTTCCTCATCTGTAAAATGAGCTGGAGAAGGAAATGGCAAACCAATCCGGTATCTCTACCAAGAAAACCCCAGGTAGGGCCACAAAGAGTTGGATAGGACTCAACAACAAAGAACAAGCATAGCCCCAAAGAAGATATGTGAGAAGGCTCCCTAACCCTTCGCAGAGGTGGGAGGTCTATGGTAAGACGGTGCATATTTCTTTCTTTCTTTTTTTTTTTTTGGTGAGGCAATTGGGGTTAAGTGACTTGCCCAGAGTCACACAGCTAGGAAATATTATGTGTCTGAGGCTGGATTTGAACTCAGGTCCTCTTGACTACAAGGCCCGTGCCCTATCCAC